TTATTCATTATTTTGGACTTGTTTTATTAATTTTTTTAAAAAAAATTGCTCATATTTCGGTTTATTTTGTTAATTTATTTAAAAAAAGATTTGAGTCTGCTCGTGTGCAGCTCGGCTCGTGAAGTCTACGTGCCAAGGGCCAAATCGATCATGAGATTTGAACAAGAGCTGAGCTCGAGCTGGGCTTGTGTATTGGGTCGAACGTGCTCTTCTCGATCTATTGTCACTCCTAATAAAACACTAGAAGGTGTATATTATAATACCGATAAACCTAATTTCTTCTTTTTAATGTTTTTTCTACTCATTTTGTCCCTGAAAAAGCTTAGTTCACTTGAGATCGTGTCTACACGCCCAGCAGAACTTGTCGAAATAGCTCGGTTCAGTCCATTGTTACTCCTAATAGCACACAAGGTGTAGATTATAATATTGATATACCTAGTTTCTTCTTTTTAATGTGTTTTCTGCTCCTTTCATTCCTTAAAAAAGCTTGAGTTGCTAAACCTCCCCTTAGACCTATGCTCAAGACATGCTAAATATCCTGATCAACTGTGCCCGAGTAGGGCGTAGCTAGCGACATAGGTACTAAATCGGGAATCTTTCACCCCAACAGAAGTGTTATTCACTTCACCATATGTATGGTCGGTCATCACAGGCTTTTACAAGCAACATTTGCAAATATTGCAGTTTTATACTTGTGTATTTTTGTCTTTTCTATATATAATTAGATATTGCTGCATGTAGCTGTCAAAGGATTGCTGAATTTGCGGAGCAATAAATAGTTTCATTTTCTAAGCCAAACCAAGAATTGATTCATTTTATTATTATTTAAATTTGATTGTTTCCGACCTTAAATTATAGGTAAATAAACAAGAAATTTCCCTAATCAAGAGAAATAATGTTAAATAACAAGAAACCAGCAAAACAGTACAAATGACCATTCGTTCATCATACCTACACACAACACATAACAAATAATATTGCAATAATAAGTAATGACTCCTACAAAAGGCAACTAGAAACCATACCAAAGAATATTTAATCCCGCAATTTAGCCTAAGAATTTTGGTCAAAAAAGATATGCATGGACCTATGTGTGAGCATGGAATATTAAATTTTAAGGTAACAGTCTTCTAACCTTATATATAATGTTATCATAAATTATTAAAAATAAGCCCATATGTCATTATTTGTTTACAAAAATTATAAAGTCGTCGATTGGTCATAGACGTAAATTATTATGGGTTCATTTTTCAATTTTTTGGACAATATAAAATAATAAAAGCGAGGTACTAAGTTAAAAATATTGTCCTCCTTCAATGCATATATATAGGACAAGTTTTGTTTAACAAAATTGACCTGCGAATGCCTAGGAAAATTAAATGCTTGGACTTGATGAATAATTTAAAATTCTGGAGAGGGTAGGAAATATATTGCTTAATAATAATTTAAAGGAATGGTCCTAGGCAGTAAAGAATGGAAGGTTAGCTTGATATTCACAAAACAGAAACAAAT